AAAAAACAATTTCTCCAATAGGGGATTAATAAAGTACATATCTTGTCTTATCTTAATAGTTATCCAATGATATTTACTATAACAGGGGAAACCATTGAACAGGGGTTTGTAGATTGTTTTCTGATTTACAGAAGAGCCTTTCTTCAAAATAATTAGAAAAATATATCATACTAACAGAGATTGATATATTATTAATTTTTAATAATCACAATTTCTGGGCAGATGGAACTTAAATAATTAACTTGATTCAAATATGAAACTAAATGATATGGCTAATGTCTGGAACTTTGGTATACTCATATAGTTCAAGTATTGAATGAATTGACTGACTGTTCTCTCAATTAAGTTGACAAAGTAGTACACTATAACACACACAGGGGGCATTATTTTTCACACTTATAGTACATTTTGCTAACGTTAACATGCTTTTATATAATATTTTCACTGCAGATATTTTACTTGTATTTTTATAGTGTCATATAGCACCTGAATACTTCCCCTACTGATGGCAGTCAGACACAGTGTGTGTGACATCATGTTTACTTGTTTTAATGATTAGTGTGTCTTTCATAATTTATTTACATTTGGTAATTCAGTCTAAATTAAAGATTCTTTTAATTGGAGATTTTTGTATTTACCGCTAAAAAACGTTTGGAAATATAATAGCTAAAAGTTGCTTAACACAGGTAATTGATGGTATTATTGATTGGTAATTTCTATGCTGTATATAGTACCCGGAGGCCTGTGTGCCTCTGTGGCTAAACTCATCAGAACCACAGAACGCTCTGGGTTCTAGTTCATCATTTCAGAAAAATAAAGTGTTTTAAAAGCTACTAGAATTCTGCTTTTATTGAACTCACATCAGCAGCTTTTGTCAAAGCTCATGTCCCACCAGATTTAAATTAGAGAATATAATTGTGTTAGATTTTATTGCCTGTAAAGCATATTAATTAGATTAGATAATTTAGAATGAATGTAAAATTATGTAAAACATGGTCGTTTTGTAGCATAATGATTTGGCTTAAATAGTTTTATGACCTGAGATGTTTCTTCTCTTTCTGCTTTTAGAATAAAATGACATTTTTGTGTTGTAATTTTCTTTCTCTACCTCCAGCATCAGTATTAAGGCACATTTCACACAACCATTTATTTAAAAACTACCACTAAACACCTTTCTATAGCCATCTGTGGTGTAGACTTTGGACTGATTTACTGGCTATAAATCATTTCCAAGGCTGTTCTTTATTGTAGTGATGATGATTCAATATCACCATAATAAACCTGCACCACCTGACCTGTAGCCTGCAACTGGTGCAGACTTTGATACAAAGCTCATGAGAATACAGTATCGCTTTCATTCAGTCCAGCCAACAATAACACTTTGATTTGAGGACCTTGGTGAAAACACTGGTGACCTGCTGCTGCATCAAACATTAATGGGAACAACTTAAGTAAGTATAACTGCTCATTTTGGGAGTCAAGTCTTAAATTTTTCTTTTAAATTTTCCTCCCAGAAATAGTCTATTTTTGTGTATTGGTTTGTTTACTTTGTAGAAAGTGAAAATAACCGCATTTCATAGTTGATTTCTCAGATCTGTCTTAGATGAAAGTTGGCTATTGACCATGTATGTCCCAAAATGTTACATATTACTCTAAATTCTTAAAGATTGATGTTAACGTCTCTCTCTCTCTCTCTCTCTCTTCTCTGCCATTTGCTGTCTCTTATCGCTGCAGCAACAGGGCCCTTTCAACATGGAAAGGTACTGTGGTCAGCCTTTTATATTAATAATAATACTACCCTTTTCTTTAAGCAAGAAATTCTTATTGACTGTAATAAGATGAAGGGGTGAACGAAACTCATGAAGGTTCAGATCAATGGAAACCCCTGTGCTTGTTCATGCATCAGTGCTGGTAACATTAAAATCTTGGAAATGTTTCTTTGTTGAAAAGATTTCAAAGCTGATTGTATCAGACACAAAGGCTGCTCTGTAGATGATCCAGTTACATTTGAATATTTGATAGATGCTTCATGAATCAACCCGATATGGGATTTCTGGACTATGGTCTCTGATATGGTTCCATGAGTTTGGACTTTCATACCAGTGCTATTTTACAGTTGACAGTTTATTGTTATATAGTTTGATTATTCTAACCAGGACATCAATGAAAACTGTTTTGACAAGTTTTACAATCCTGTTTAATTGTTCTGTGGTTGAGGCTTTACATTATATGGTTGTATATGTAGCTGCAGAGCGCCCTGTAGTGGTAAGCAAAAGAAACAAACAGACATTCTCGAGTGAGTTAGAGGGAAGCAAACATTTGGCAGCTCTACAGGAGGCTCTTACCACCACTGTGGATTCAACTTCACTAAGCTTGAGAATAGTAACTGAGACATTTTACTGCTTGTGATACTGATGTGTGTAGAGATTTTAAATCGCGTGTCCAGGCTCAGTATGTTCAGGCCCCTGTTCTGACTGGCTGCAGTCTGTTCATTAATGTGTTCCAATTGTGGCCTGTGAGATTGGTTGGTTTCACATAGCTAGACTCTGACAATGGCTTAGAGCAGTGGTTCCCAATATTTTTCCTTAAGGATATTTCATTATTATCATTCCAGCATAACAATAACCATACAGAACTGAATCAGCTTTAAACTTGATTTTTTAAATGTGTAAAATGAGCAGTTTGGATGCAGATTATTCCCTATAGATATTGCATCAGAGTTTAGCTGATATTTTAGGAACTTTTTATACAATTCTCTGTCTGTTTTATGTATTTATTTATTTTTTAACAGTAATACATACTTAAGCCAAATTCAGAGTTCTTCTCCCTGACATTTGTTCTATTAGCTTTTGGGTTTTATAACTGCCATACTTTTTTAATTGCTGACAAGATATAGACCTACTGTATATTTGTAAATGTTTCCTACACTTGCCTGGCCTTCTCTGAATCTCAATGAGCTACTCAAGCTTCCAACCTGTTTATCCAACTCTGATGATCATTTTGCATCTGTTGATCAGGATCCAGCGGGAGAGACAAGACTCTGGTGGCCAGATTGATTTCAAAGATCAGCATCTTCCCCCTGAAAACATGTAAGATTTATACCAACAAGTTCTCATTTCAATATGACAGAAAATCATCTTCTCACTGAATGTAGAATAGAAATATTGTGACAGAACCAAGGTCTGTGGTGCTTATGTGCTGTTAAACACACGTGCTGGTAGTTATATCATAACAATTGTTTACAGCTCAATAGAATCACAGACTTCCACTGTTGGTCAGAAAACTCATACAACATAACAAAAATGTCTCACTAAATGGAGACAAGTACCACAAACCTCCAGCCCTAGGTAGCTAATTGACCTTACATTTGTTGGGTCATTGAAAATTCACACATATCATGTTTTCCATAATGTTCCCCAGTAGGAATTTATATGAAGCAATCGAGTGTTTAAATACAAATGATATGTTTTTCAATATGTTTTTAGTATCAGCCCAGTAAGGTCTAACCACCATGTTAACCTCTCACCCGGTGCTTCTCCTCTCTGTCAATCAGCCTTGAGCATGAGAGACCAGACTGTCCCGTACCCAGCTGTGTGTCCAT